ACAAGATACATGAAAAGAAAGATACTGAAGATGATGAGTTGCAGCTCTGTGTCATCTGTGAGTCCCAGGAGAATGAATTCTGAAATAACTGTTTGGTTTACAGATTTCATGTTTGTGGTGAATCTGGTGGGGGGAAAATGGGGCAAACAGATAACAAACTACATGAACAACAGCAATATCAGAAGTTAAAACATTAGATAAGCAGCTCTGTGGACACCTTGATTTTGGCCTTTAACCTCCAGAGCAGTGAAAAAAGTAATTTCTTACTTCAATCTTCTTACTTTACAGTCTGTAGCTTCTTTGTAGTTCACAAATCTTTGCCCCATGAGTATAAGATATGCCCAATGGAGGCTGGAGAGGTGATTCATTGTGTTAAGTGCATGCCCCACAAGCATAGTGACCCGAGCTCAAACCATCAGAATCCACAGTTATGCTAGTTGGGTACATAGGCCCATCTGTAATCCCAGCCTAGGGAGACAAAACATGCGATCACCAGAGCAAGCTGGCTACTGAATCAAGCCTTATGATGAGTTCTGGGTTTGTTTGAGAGGCCCTGCCTCAAGGAGTCAGGTGGAGGACTCATTATGGATGGCTCTTGGCATCAACATCAGACTTCTATATACACATGTATTCATGTACACACTCACTCGCTCACACACACACACACACACACACACACACACACACACACAATAAGGAAAAACTTTAATGGGGACTGGAGAGCTGTCTCAGTTGGTAAAATGCTTGCCTTGCCAGCATGAGTACTTAAGTTTGATAATAAGGACCCATGTCTTAAAAAAGAAAAATTGTATACATACAATGCTAGTAATGAAAAAAAGAGTCAGGCAGATCCTTACATCTTACTGGCCAGCTATCTTAAATAAGTAAGCTAGTATCAGGTAAGTAAGTAACTCTTCTTTCTAAAACCAAAGTGTAGGAGATTGGAGAGACAATCCAAAGGTTAATAATGCATACTGCTCTAGCAGAAGACCAAATTTCCATTCCCAGCACCCATGCCTGATGGTTTACATCAAGTTGTAACTCTAACATGTCTGCTCTCTGATGACACTTAAACTCGTGTCCATATATGCAACTCCCACATATTTACAGAAAAATTCACATACACATAATTACAAAAAAAGATAAATCTGAAAAAATATTTTAAAAATGTAGGTGTTTCCTAAAGATGACACCTGAAATTAGTATTTGGCTTCCACATTTATGTGCACATGTAACATGCATACCCACGCACACCCCTGCACAAACACAAAGAATGGAATCAGGACAGTTTTCCACAGTCTCTTACATAGTCTTTTGATGTTCTCCAAATTGAAACACTCCCTACAGGAATGAAGGAGAGAGTCATGAGACTTAGATTTCACTATGGGAGGAGACATTGACTAGCAGAGCTGGCTGAAGGAAGATGAGCTTGCCACAGGTTGGTGACTTTGCAGTCTATGGAGCCTTCAAGCCATACATAAGGCCCTTCTAGTGATGCAATTTCCTGAGTTTTCATCAGTCTAGAGGTAAGGTTTTTGGTGATACAGCTGCATTTAAGTCTTCCTGTTCAGTAAGCAACTCCCCATCTATACTTATTTAAGTAATCCGAATATACTCTCTGGTTGACCAAGTTAGACATTGAAGGATTCATTAATTTTGTATATTGTATTTCCTTGGGAAGCTTTATCATATTTGGGAAGGGACAATCTCTACGCAGAAAGAAATGGAACCTGTTCCTGATGAGATTATTAAAGGAGCTCAGTTAAACTCAATATGGGAAAAGTGCAAACACATGATTACAGATCACTGATTAGAGTAGTATGAGAGTGTGGAGAGTTTTGTTTCTCATCATTTAAATAAAATCTTATATCATAGCCTCACACAATTGATTCCAGGAAATCACCTATTCAAATTGCCAGAGCCTTTACAAAGATGCTGTTACCTGCTTGCCTTCAAGAAGAACAATGTTAAGATCTCACCTGGATGTTGAGAATGGATGACTTGTCTGAGGAAATTCAGACAGAGTATGAGTCAGAATGATCTTCTGTCAGAGAAAGATCTGGCATTGATTCCTGAAGGGGCAGGGATATTGAGTTAGGTCACAGCCTGAATCACACAGTTTGTCATCTCATGGGATTCAAACACCAAAGCTCCTCATTAGAGCAGTGATTTTTTTACACGTCACGTTTCTCCCAGGAGTGCAACTCCTTAAAAACTCTTGAGAAGAGTCCCTCACATCAGATCTCCTGATACTCCAGGCCTAGAGTATACATGTTAGTTATCGTCATCATTTCAGCTCACCCCTAACAAGGTCCTTCAGTTAAAACATATACCCCAAGTTCATATAGACACACATCCCTGAAAACATAACAATAAGGAGACTGAAATATGAGGACCACAACAAAACAAATATGTAACAGAAATCCCAAAACACAACTTCTCCAATAAATCCCAGCATTCTTTGTGAAAGACAAAGAGAAGCTATGTCAAAAGGTGTGATGTAAATTTTAAGTATGAAAATATGTCTTACATATGAGGATATGTTGTAACTGGAAATATTAAGAAAATATTGTAAAATAATAAAAATATGTTGTGGCTTTTCTTAAGTAACTTTGATATTTTCTTCACCATAATTTTATCTTATGTTTTTCAAATAAAGTTCTGATCTTTATCAGAAAATATAGAAAAAACAATAACTATGAGTCAAAATTTTATTTAAATATTTATTCTTTGCAATTATATATTCATATATATTATACTTTTATAATATATATGGAATTCACCTGTTATTCCCATTGTAATCTCCATCTCATCTTATAAAACCTCCATAATTACTGATAGTATCATTTCTACCTTCATGGTTTTTGTTGCTTTATTTTGTTGTGAAGTCCCAGTGAGTTCAAGCAGGATCATCCTATGACCATGGATTTGGATCTACCTGCTAGAGCCTGGTAGGCTCCTCCATGTATACTAGTGAAGCAATTATTGCCTCCTTCACAGAACCTACTAGTAAAGAATAGTTCATCAATGCAGATTAGAGACTTATACACTGACTGTTGGTAGGTACAGTCTTATGAGACAACCAAAACTTCACTGAAGTCAGGATTGCTTTGACTGTGCCATGCCTGGAAAGACAGAATTTCAAAGCCTTTCTCCTTATTTTCTGGTCCATAATTCTCCCATTTCCTTTTTGAGATATTTCCCAGCATTAGATGGTGTAGTATAAATTTGTTGATTACAGTTAAAAACTCAAATACCACTTATTCTCAGCACCTTGAGCACCTATGTGTTTCTGTATTCACTGTCAATGACTTCAAAGAGAGGATTCACTGATTGAAGCTGAGAAAAACATTTGCCTGTAGATAAAAAAATAAATATCAAATGCATCTTTGCACCAGGACAATTTGGCTAAACACTTGTTTAAAAGTTGACCCATAGGCCATGCCTGCAATAAAACTCGGTGGGCTGCCTGCAAATCTTCTCTTCTTCCGCTGTTCCATGAAATCAAATTCACCATTCTCATACCAGCTCAGCAGCAAAATACTTGTGGTGGTCTTCCCTTATTTCTTCTTCCCATCTCTTGTGGATTCCACAGATCTTTTCCTTCTAGCCTTTCTCCCATGACTCACTAGTAGGCATACTTTGGGAATACACCATCTGACCAGGCCATGAAAATAGATCCACATAAAATTTTCTACTCAGCAGCACATAGTAATTACCTTCTCCAAACATAGAAACAGAGAAACAACACACTCACTCAACAGAGAAAAAGCCAAATATCATCACCAAGACCCCAAAACCCATGTCTATAACAGATACCTAGACATCACCATAAAAAAAAAAACAGTAACAGCTAGGACAATATGTCTCCACTGGAGTTCAGCTACCCTACCAAAGCAAGCACTGAATATTTCATCATAAGTGAAGTCTAAGAAAAAGACCTAAAACAGCCTATGTGAAGATGATAGGGGCCCTTCAAGAAGAACTGAGTAAATGCCTTAAAGAAATCCAGGAAAATACAAACAGTGTGGGATAATGATTAATCCATTAAAGAAATTCAGGAAAACACACACAAACAGTGCAAGAAAATGAATAAAACTATTCAAAAATCTAAAAATAAAAGTAAAAT